TCCTGTAGCTCAGCTATTCATAATCTTGTTCCTAAATTCATTCTTAGATTTCTTCCCTAAAGGAACAAATAGGTGGAAAATAGGGTCTGTGAGAAAGCAAACATTCTCTGTCTTAAGCATAAATTGTAATGAGCAAACATGGCCAAAAAAGCCTCTTGTGTAAATAGCTATGAAACTGTGTTGCTTTGGTTTTTTATGTATTGAGACTTTAAACTTCTAAGGACTCTGCCTGTCCAGAGTGACGACAGCCAGTATAGAGAAGGCAAATGCTGTACTCTCTCATGAAGACTTCACTTCTGCTCTTTCAGGTTTTTCTTAATGAAAGTGAATTTGAATTTTAGACTGAAAGTAAGTCATGTTTTGTTTATGGAAGAATATTAGAAATGAATGTGAAGTATTTCTTCTGCTATATAGCATAAGGGCCAAATCCTGCTTGCTCACAGCAAATCTACCCATGTGAGTAAAGCAAGCACACTTTGCTCTGTAATTTGAACATTTTTCCCAATGTGGAACCACACACACACACACACACATTTGGAAGGTTTTAGATCTCAGGAGTTTAGTGGGGTGTGATTTTTTCGAAATCAACAGTAAAAGTAGTTTACCTTTAAGGTCAGCAACATTGATAAGAACTTCTTTTGATCTCCAATCAACATAGCATTGCTAACAATGGGCAGTTCCTTTTTGACCTCATCTTCAATTGGGATCGGAGGCACATTTTCACCTCCAGCTGTAATAATTAACTCTAGGCATAAAAAGAAACTTATTAGTTGAATTCAAATAATTTCCTCACAGCTATCTAAGGGGTGGGCCGAACCATTTATCACATTCCTGCTAATAGAAGATACCAGGAATACCAATAGCTTTCAAAGAGAACAAAACTTGTTTAGATGTGAAAATTAACCTTCCTGAAAGACAGATATATCCTTTGCAATATCCCTAGAGGGCGCTCTCTCTCTCTCTCTCTAATAAACACAAACACACACCATTGTGCATACAAAGCAAAACCCTTTATATCAGACTGCAGATAACCTAAACTCTTGGTTAACTGAAGATTAATTATGACTCTCGAGGTGTTACTGATAACCTGGGATTTTCAGCAGTTAGGCTCCCTTCAGTGCTATCTGGCATTCATTCTCTTTGTGCTCTAGTGTTGCTAAGCTGCGAAAAGCCCTTTCACAGCAGGCACCATAATAAAAAGCAATCTTAAAACCACCAAGAGGGGGCAGGCCAGCACAAGCAAGCACATGGAGAGGGATCTTTAGAAGAAGCAGACTGGCACAGAACAGCCAGGGAGTAACTGAGGCAGTCCAGAGTAGGGCTGGATGAATAATGGATTTCTTGGTTTGCTACCAATTAAATAAATAATAATTAATAATTGTTTAGGGTCAAATGAACAACTAAATTTTTTGAAATTTTCAGCGAATCAAGACAAGATGTTATTCCATTCTGAACATTTCGTTTCTTTCAAAATCAGAATGATTTGTTTTGTTTTTGACCATTTTAAAATGTTTTTGATTAGTTTTATTTAAAAAAACAAAGGACATTTTAAAGTAAACAGTCATTTCACATTTTAAAAAATGATTTAAAAAAAGTCTGTGACATGGCCAGAAAGGGTTAAGTAGCTTGCAGGCTAAATGACCCAGGGTCAACCTTTAGAGACAGGTTAGATAGGCTAGAACTTTGAAATGCAAACCTGTATTGTTAGAAAATTAGAGGTGATACTAATTGTATGTGTTTACTTATATCTTGTTAGATGTTAGCCATGTAAACAGACAGTTCCTGTCTATCACTATAGCTATTGATTCAGAGATCAAAGGGAATATTAACATTTAGACGAATCTTGGGTGAAATAATGTCATTGTCTATATGTCCCTTTAAAGTTTGTGGTAAAATGTATATGAACTGTTTAATGGATAAATTACCTTATGTTAATCCATGTAGTTGATTACGTGATGTTTGGGAAACAGAAGGTTACATTAAAAGCCTATTGTTCACCCAGGATTGTATGGTCAAGAAGCTGCTAGAAAACTGTTTAAAAGACTCTTGGGAACTGATCCTTTCATCTCAGATCTGCTTGATGCTTTATGCGGGGGAAGCTTGAGTCGTAAGACTTAGATCTCCAGTCCTTCTGAATCACCCGAAATATGAACATTGGACTAAACCTATGGACTAATTCTGAAAGAACTCTTTGCAACTACAAAGCTCAGCATCTCTACTATGAAGCTGATCTCAGAACTGTGCTCATGTCTATACTGAGCTTTTAACCAATACTCTCTCTCTTTTCTTTTTTAATAACTTTTAGTTTAGTTAATAAGAATTGGCTGTAAGCCTGTATTTGGATAAGATCTGAAATATTCCTTAACCTGGGAGGTAATGTGTCCGATCTCACTTTCCTATATGATGAATAAGATTTTTAGTAATCTTCATCATATTTGACTTGGGTGTTGGGTGGAGGTCTAAGGCTGGGTTACTTTAAGGTAACTGTGTTTTGGCTTCTGGGTAACCAGTAAGATATTATAGAAGCTGTTTGAGGCTAACTTGGTGGATCTAAGTACTGGAATGACCACCAGCTTTGGGGATTGTCTGCTCCATTCTTTACATTTAATTAAGTTGTCTCAGGGTGGGTCCCCTGGGACCCCGGTCATAGAGTTCATAAAATGTTTTGATTTTTTCAGAATTTGGGGATGGGGAAGGTTGACCAAAACAATTTGCCAAATTTGACAAAATTCACAGAATGTTTGTGTTGCAAATCTGTATTCTTCATAGAAAACAAAGTTTTGACTGAAAAATTGCACCCAACTCTAGTCCAGAGGACCAGGAGGGTGGTGCCTACCTTCAGAGTATGTCTAAAAATAACTTTAAAAATACTAAACAAGTGCATCATTCTTGTGCTATTTTGCTGATTCCTCTTGATAAGGAAGGAGTGTGCATTTTTATTTGAATGTCTGTCAATTAAAGTAAAATTCTTTGACTATTACAATTCTTAATACATTGCACCATCCCGTAAGCAAACTACGAGTGCTCCACTGCATTAAATTTGTGTCCTTTGCCTGTGCCTAAAATAAAATATGTCCTTTTAAATATATAAAACATTTTAAGAAATAATGTACTCTGTACAGAACAGTGCAGACAAATGGACTTACGTGTACTATTGTAACTGAAAGTCATACATTAAGGGACCTGATCCTGGAAACACTTATATGGAAGTACTCAACTTTGCTTACGTACTTCCATTGAAGTCAATGGTACTATTGCTGCACATGAAGGTAAGCAACTGTAAGTATTTGCTGAATCAGTTTCTTAGTTGACAGTAACATATTCAGTATTAACTAAGAGGCTTCTTGTCTGTATTTTAATTTGGTTCTTTGCCAAAATCTGTGGTCTTGAATACAACAAGATGATAGAAACTTGACTGTTTCAGTGGAATTATGTTTTTCTAGATTATCAGAATTTGCATATTGAGTAGATATTAAGTCTGGCAAACAGATTAGTCTAAGAAGGAAATGAGAAGGAAAGAAAAGGTTATGGAAAACTGACGTGTCTTGTTTCTTACAAGAAACACTAGATTGTCTGACTTGTGTGCTGTGTTATGGTAAAACTACCATTTGGCAGTGAGTTGTGAGCTAGGGAGAAAGTAGAATAGGGAGGAGAAGAGGTGACCTCTGAGGTTCAGTGTTTACTTTTAAACCAGCTTATTGCTCCTTACACACCCCCTCTGAGATATCCGGTACGTCATGGATCTGCATTTCTTTCAAAATCCCTAACCGCGATAATCTGTTGTCTCAGTGTTTTAATACTCTGTGATACAAAAATAGTTATCTTTAGCAAGTTTTTTAAAAACTTGAATGGGGGAAAGCTTAACAAAGGTAGCACAATTCAATAGCTTAGTACCTGATCCCATTTGTTACTGAGCTTTATTCAATTCAGTGGCACTTGAGGGAACTCAGGGGAAATTGTTACTCACAGGTTTGGGTCCTAACGTCACTAGTGTTCAGGCTCAGCTTTGGAGGCTATAGGGTCTATTATATACTTTCCCTGCCCCATGTGTGTTTTATATACAATAGCCATCGGCTAAATCCACATAAACTGGCACAGTCAATACTGCACAATTATTTTCCTGGATAATATGATGTGTGTACAGAATTATTTTATGAAGTACAATTTATATTTCTAGGATGAGAGATTACACTATGCTTTATCATATCTTAAATGTATGGCTACCCCTCCACAAATCAGATGTTGATCTAAACCTTAGAGATTTCCTCCTCCTCAACTTTTCACTCAACTTTTCCAAACCCACCAGAGCCCCTGTAATTTTATAACTGCTTCTGCCCCACCTGCAATGAGGTTCCATTAAGGGGGTTCTCTTATCTATCTGTCTCTGACATTTGACTATTCAAATCTTAAGAGCTACTCTGGGTCAGAGATATCACAAAACAGCATAATTTGTCCCTCTCATCCTTGTTGCATTGAAAGTCCTGCCAGAACTCATGAGAACTGAAGACACCAGCCAGACCTGCTGAGATGGATTTCAGCAAATGGAGGAGATCTGTTTAAGACTCAAGGAGAGATGATGGGGGGAGGGGGGATTTATCTGACCTTCCAACATATTTTAAATGGTTTAGACTTGGGTTTGAAGTTTGCATGGAAATTCAAGCAGTATTTCTTTTATCCAAACTGGCTCACTTAGCCTTAATTTATCTTTAATTTACAGTGTTTATTTATTTTTTAAATGGCACTCCCATCACTGAAGGTATAAGTGCAATGCAAACATTAAGATAATCGAACTGGGCCACTTTGTTAAAGAATAACAATGGGGGGAAAGGAAAAGTAACCAGAAAAGGAAAAGGCAGAGAATTAAGGGAAGCCAAAATGATCACATTCAGTGCAGGCTAATTATAGCATCTAATAAAGGCCCCCAGGACTGACTGCACATGGTAATGTTATCCTGTTACAAATTCACCAGCAAGTGCAGCTACTTCCCTCCTGATTCATCTTGTCTTCTGGGGTTACAGTTACTCATTATACAAGATAGTTTAGGAAGCATCTGAACTGTGACAAAATATCTCCCTTCTGAGTATGTATCTTGGAAGAGAGCGTCCAGGCAAACAAATTACCAAAACCTTCCCATGGCAACATTTCAAGCAAAATACTGTCACCAGACCCAACTATTCCTCTTTGTTTTAACTTATCCTTCTACCCTCAAAAATTAGGAGGGTATTGTTCAAATGGTCTGGAAACGCGGAGCTTACAGCCATCTCAGATGTCCAGCTCCCACATGGCAGTAAGGGTACAATGAGTTTTCCTATTTCATTAGGTACCCTCTTCTAGCATGTAGCCCCATGACTCATAACTTAATACAAAACATAGTGATTGTCTAACATTATTGTCTGAATATTTTGATCAGTAAGTAAGGCAAAGGACTTAGCAAGATTCAAATCGGGATTGAACATTTACATGAATAACAAAATATCCAGAATTATTGTTAATGCTAACAAAATGAATATTGGAAGGGAAATGAAATCTCATGTTGCAATGCTTAAGCCAATCTCGAAGGATGAGACCTTCCTGGGAGCAGATTCTCTCACATCTACTTATTGTGAGGTTTCCTCTGAAGCACTTGGCGCTGGAGTTGGAGACACTCAACCAGGTGGACCACAAGCCTGATCCAATAAGACATTCCTATGTGCTTATCTGTTGTATGACAGAACAACACTGAATAGTTACTTTAAAATGTTGGGAGGAGACTGCTTTTTACCTTTAATTCTTCCAGTAACATAGAGGAAGCCGTCCTTGTCTAGTCTTCCTATGTCTCCAGAATGCAACCACCCATCATCATCAATGGCTTCTTTTGTTTTATCCTCCATATTTAAATAACCCATGAAAACAGTTCTTCCCCAGAAACAAATTTCTCCATTGCCATCTGCATCCTCATTCACCAGTTTCACTTTGCAGCCAGGCACTGCTTTGCCACAGCTACAAGGGAACAAGAAGGAAAAGATTCATACGGAATGCTAGAAAAGCCAGATAAAATATAGAGCGAACCTTTACAATATCTCATCTCTAAGACCTTGAGAAGGTATAAACAAACACATTCCCATCATTGTTAGAAAGTTACGGGCCAGAATCTCAGCTGATGTAAAGCAGCAGTGTAAGTGGAGTTCTGCACATTTATACCAGCTGAGGATTTTGCCCTGTGTTGCTACTTAAGTGGACTTTTTGTTTCTTTTGGAGCATTAAAACACTTCTCTGTTTGAAATTTCACATTTGCACATTATTCCCTCTTAAGTAGGCCAGCCCTTCGGTTTAATAGTTGTGCTCTGCACAGCATGCAAAAGACTGGGTTTGACTGACACCCTGGGCCAAAGTGTGGTGGAAGCAACATGCTCAGCTTCTGGCATGAAGACTGTCTTGAGCTGGAACACAGAGCCTTGAAGATGGGGAAGTAAAGGAAAGAACAAAGAGAACCTTCATCTCCCAAGTCTCAGTCCAGCACTATATCCACTAGGCAACACCGCCTCTCAAGTTCAAGGTTCAGTGGACACCGTATCAAGGTGAATCTAAATTTTACAGTAAAGCAACCTGGAAATACTGTAGCAGTTTTTCATACATTAAAAATAGAGCATTTTACTGAATTACATATATATTTGATATTCAATTCATTCTGTCTTTTCCCAATTTTCTGTTTTCAATTTGTTGCAGATTTTTGTAGTAAAAATGCATAAATATGTGGTAGAAATTGACAAGGGTGAAACTAGAAGTTTTAGCAGCTGGGTCCAGTGCAATAAGGGCTTTTGCCACCTAAGTAGATGTGGGAGGCAATGAAGCAGTTAACAGTCTCAGTGTTGGAATTGTGCCTCTTTAAATTAATCAGTAGGAGGGTGAGAATTAATAGTCTGGAGAAACTACAGAGTACTTGATAGTTGTGTGGATATACATTAGCCAGAGATATAAATAATTAAGAATGCAGACTATCAGCTCCAGATTTTTTCAGAATTCGCTGATGTACTACATTGTTACACACAACTTGACTGCACTCATCTCTTCTTGACAGATGCTAAAGAACATATCTGCTTTGGGATCTGATATCTGCTAGTAATTTGTATATCAAAAGCCTGATTCTGTATTCACTGTACACTCAATTTCTCTTGGGCCCTGTAGTGAGTCCATATTGGTTGACCGGGAGGTGGGCGGGCTTACCCGCCCACTGCT